GTTTTTACTTGGAGGCTCCGTCAAAATCCATCGTGCAGAAAACGTGCCATGTCGATCATATATTAAATCAGTAACTGATAATAAAATTTATCAAAGAATCGTCTTAACGAGTTCTGATTGCATGGTTCCAAACCGAAAAATCCTTTATACATTGTGCATGAAAAGGAATTGCAATTAGCAATCATAATTTCAATTAAGATTTAATAACGTTGGCCTCTTGATTATTAAAAAGGTAATTCCTTTCGACCCATTTTCTAGATTTTCTTTTTCTTTTTCTACTCTAATCTTTATTGGTAATTACAATTGCGAATTGCTAAGTTTTTATTGCTAAACTTTACTTTATTAAACAATTTTTCGAGAAGCGTAAGAATGAAATAAAGTGAAACATTGTAGTGTGAAATAATAATCATTCTTGAATTTATTGGCTGAATTTCATATTAATATGTTATTGTGACCGGAAATAGTAAATCTAAACTTTCTGTGTTAGTATTAATATGTACAAAAACGTTATCTACAGACAGCAAGTAGTATATGAAATTCGTTGTGTAACCGCACAAAAAGTCCCAACTGAATTTCATACACTTACTCGTGCAACATAATAATAACTTTCGTCTATATAAACATGACATTTACCACACATGCGAAATGGGAATAACCGCAAAAAGAAACAGCTATAGTGAAATTCCATGAGTATGTATCAACAAAATAATGATTCAGTGGAAACAATAGGAAGTGTAATAAGTAATGCAACATATGAATTCCAAGACATATTAAATCAAATAGAAAACCAAGAGGACAAAAAAGAAAGAACTTTAAAATTAAGGAAATTTATTAGAACCTTAAAACAGAAAATAAACCGAAGAGGACTTAAACCGAAACTCAAAAAAATGCTTCAGGAAGCATATATTGTAATCAAAAAATAAGAGCAAGAATAGAAATGGTGTGGTGTGGATGGCTCTAATACCTTTTTTTAAAGATAATTTTCAAAAAAATGTAATAATTACAGTATTTAATCAATATACATGTATATAATTTTCTATTTATTCTTTTGAATTCCATGTATAATTTGCAAATAAATATATATATCCGGCTAATATGTAAAACACCAACTACACACTTGACAATTCCTAAAATTCCTAATGACTCATCACTCAAGCGTGCTACCTCATAGCCACTTAGTGATTTAACCCGAAAATACTTTTATTATACATAGAATATATATATACAGTATGTTACAAAAAAAATTGGCCAAAATTTTTTTGCAATTATTCAATAACAAATATATCGATTCCAATTTAGTAAATTTGTTAGAAAACATATAGTTTTATTTATATAAATTTTAATAAGAAACTCTTTCTCCATTATTTTCAATTATAAGTGCACATTTGTTTTTCATTGAATTAATAAAATTAATTAGGAGATTATTTGGAACTGCATTCCACTCATCTATCATAAATTGTTGCAACTTGGCCAAATTATTTAGCATTTGTAATTCTGTGTTGTTTTTTTTGACAATAGCTCATAAATTTTCAATGGAATTCAAGTCGGGGCTATTGGAAGGCCAATCGATTACTTTTGGGACATTTTCTTTTAAGAATTCTTTGGCAAGACAACTTGTATGCTTGGGATCGTTATCTTGCTGGAACCTCCAATTATTCCCAAGCACACTGTTGATTTCTTGAAGATGCTTTTCAAATATTTCGACATAAAATTTTGCACATTATTTGTGTAAAACGAAATAACTTGTTTTACCCATTGCAGAAAATCTAGCCCACGCGAAAATTTTTGTCCGTTTTTTGGGAGTGGCTTAATTGGGCGTGGACCTCTATACCAATGCTTAACTGTGTTCCTAAATAATTGAAATGCAGTTTTCTCGCTAAATAAAGTTTTTTCCATGAGTCATTAATGTGTTTTTTAGCACATTCAATACGCCTAGCTTTTTGAATTTTAGTTAACATAGGAGTACCAATTGGTAATTGGTTTTTATAACCCAATTCATCCAAATATCTTTTGATTGTAACATAACTCATATTTATATCATATCTAGATAGTTTTACTGGTAAATTTCTCAATGATTGAGTAGAACTGCTTCGAATAAACTGACCAAATGCCCTTGCTGTGGCTGGTGTAATCTTTTTTTTTCTTCCGCTTCCTTTTCTGTGAGCCAAAGTTCCTGTTTTTTTTCATCTTTTTAATATTATATTTGATAGTAGAGAGTGGAATGTTAGTTAATTTATGAATTTCTTGTGCATTGCATGCACCTTCATTCAGAAAATGTCATATAGTTTGACGATATGTTTCTAAATTTGAACAAAAAAATATACTAAATGAAAGAGAAAAGAGAATAATTTTATATTAATATTATATTCGTTTGTTTAGATGCATAAAAGATAATCATCTGAAAACACCTTGTATGTTAGATAAACAAATTTTGGAATGTCTAGAATCTTTTTTGATGAATCTGGTTTTTTAATTGATGCGAATAGCCATTTATACAAGATAGATGGGTCATTAATTAATTGTTTCGGCTGGTCTCTTTGTTTGAAATAACATTTTCTTTGCTGATTTCATTAATCGTATCATGATTTATTTTGCAGTCGCACTATCTATTTGCATACTTTGGGAATTCAATGAATTTCTATTACTATGCATGTAGACAGATCACGTTATAATGTGCCACATCATGCTGAATTTATTTACGTAATGCCGAATTGCCGTAATTCAGGTACACAAATCATAATAATAAACAAATAAATTTTTAGAGATGGAAAACAATTTGGATGAAAATAAACGCCATGATGATACTTTTATTGACAAAAATGATGATGACAAATATTCGGAGAAAAGAAAAAAATATTATGGGGAATGTCCAACCTGCAATAGATAGAATACCTATGGACAATCATGTGACCCAAAGCTATTAGCTGAAGGCAATGAAACATTAGATGAGTTGATTAAAATCACACAACTTAAGGCAACAACATATTGGAATAGTTGTTATCTTCAATGGATTCCTTATAATGATCTAACAAATATTGAAAAGATGGGTGAAGGTGGGTTTGCAACTATATACAAAGCTACTTGGTTAAAAGGTGAGAAATATCTAAATTATAAAAATAAAAGAACTAATGAGGATATGCCTGTGACATTAAAAAAACTACATAATTCACTAAATATTTCTGATAAATTTCTTAATAAGGTAAATTATTTTGTTCTTTTATTTATTTTAGATTTTTTAAATATTATTCTGAAATTCAATATATTTTTTTAGTTCAAAAATTATACAAAGCTTCGTGATCAATTATATATAATTAAATTTATGGATTAACACAAGATCCAATTATAAAAGAATATATGTTTGTAATGGATTATATAGAAGATGGAAGTCTTCAAGATTATTTAACAAAAGATTTAAAAATTTAACATGGGAATATAAAATTAAAGTTCTTTATAATATTATTGAAGGCTTAATAGATATTCATAAAGAAGAAATTATTCATCATGATCTTCATAGTGGTAATATTTTTCAAGTAAATATGGTGATATGTTATTATATTACAGACTTAGGATTATCATGCCCAGCTAGTCAAACACTATCATCAAACAAAAATGATATATTTGGAGTACTACCATATATTGCACCAGAAGTTTTAAAAGAGAAACCATATACAAAAGCATTAGATATATATAATTTTGGAGTTCTGATGTCAGTAGTATCAACTGGCCAACAACCTTTTAATAATTTGGCACATGATTTTGATCTTGCAATGAAAATATGTGAAGGTGTAAGACCAGGATTTTCAAACAATGCTCAAAATTCTATATTAAACTAGCATTTAGATCCATAGATGCTAATCCAGATAAACATCCAACTGCTAAAGAAATTCATAAGATTATTGAGATTTGGAACTGTTGTATGCGAAATTGAAATCTATAATTAAAATTTTGGAGTGGGTGTTTGGATATGAAATTCTGACTGGCTAATTTGAATTTCACATGTGTGAATTGCAAATTCACATAAATTTCATTTTCACGCACAACATATTGGAATTACCCACTTCATTCATTCTATTTGAAATTATTCAACGAATAAAACAAATAATTCGAATAAACCTTATTCGAATAGAAACCTAGTTCTGGTTAAGTACAAGGTTTCCTTTTCAGTTGCACATGCACTATTATTGCAAACAAATTCTGGTCAAGTGTTTCGGTTTTCTTTCTAGCTTCATACGCTCTAAAAAAAAATTAAAATTTAGAATGCGTCATTAGTGTACTAAAAGAAATTTTTTTTCGAAGAATCTAAAACAAGGAAGAGAATTAGTTAAAAATATGGAAATGTCATTTGGTAGATGATTTCTTTTTTTTTGTATTAATGGAGTGAAATCAAAACTAGATGTTGGCGCCGACTAAAAATTCTTTAACCAGTTAATTAGCTGTGAAATGGAATCTGTGATGGTTAACCGATTAATATTAATACTAATCAAAAAAGAATTGACCGGCTAAAAAAATATCTTTACCGGCTAACGGTACCAACCTCTAAATCAGAACCAGGTTTATGTATAACAAATATGTTATTAATTGATGAAAAAAAAAAACAATATGAGAATTGTAACCTATGAATTTTGTTGAAATGAATTAACGTTATTATAAACAAAAATATTTTTTTGTAGACACGCATAATGATCTCAATTTAATATCTGTCTGAATTTATCACAATTGGAGCTGTATTTTAACCTCAAAGTCCTTGATGGAAGAATATATATATATCATTATTAAAATTTTAATAATTGATGATAGCAATTCAAGCAGTCTTTTATCTTTGTCAATTGGTCAATTGAAGAAATAAACGGATGAAATTGTAGTGACAGCAATAGAAAGAGGAATCCACGATAAGAGAACGAGTTGGTCAATGTTGTACTAACGTTCCCTCCAATATAAATAATTTTTATTTTGAGTGATAAGAATGCTTTCATGAAATTATCAAAGTGTAAAGTTGTTATTTAACCTACTAATTCTGCAGAAGGTATATCGAAAGAATACTCTAGTTTAATGAAATCTTCTCCACATTCAAGGGGTAAGGCATTATTTAATCGTTTATATTCTGATTCAGGAGTTTTACTTTAAGGATAAGCTTACTAGCAGCACACGTTAACTTTTCTTTTCCTAAGGTTTTATCCTTAATGTTTGAAACATTTGGGTTCGTCGACAGGAAGGTCTTCGATTGCATTTTCACATTTTCGAATTATACCACAAAATATTACCATGTTTTTTAGGAGGCACAAGTCGCCCGTGTTAACTATTAGCATTGATTATTTTAAAAATCACAGAGAAAACTTTTAAAAGTTAATTTTTCTTTGAAATATAAAGGTTACTGATTTTTTGGCCTCATAAAAAAAAACAAAATCTTTTTTGGAATATAAAGATTTCGGATTTTTGGCATTATTTCTTTATTATTATTATTAATCAATCAAACCGTATCATTAAAGATTCTATTATCAATGGTTCAATTAAATTAACTTTAAATTGCTAATTTTGTCAATGTTTTTCCTACAACTTTGATCCTTATAATTTATAGAAATCTCATCTAACAATTTAAAATTCTAAAAATTTATTAATATTGAAAAAATAATCCAGATTAACATCTCAGAATTTGATTTAATTAATTATTGTTTTATTTAAAATTAATATTATTTTTATTACAACAAATTTGATTTTTAATTATCCAATTTTTCTCTTCCATGAAAGAAATAATTGTTCTTAAAAGCGGTGTCTTATTAAGAGTATTACAACTTCCAAACAAAATTAACTTGGATTCTGCTCTAGTTAACGCAACATTTAATCTGCGAAAGTCTGTAAGCAACTCACCAACCTTTTATAATATTGTGTAAAAATATAGTAAAATTAATAAATATATTATTATTACAATGTTTAATTAACACATTTTTGACGTCCAACAACATACCATTTCTTTAGAATTTGATCGAACAAATGACACTAAAATACAAGCCTTGTCACGTCCCTGATATTTATCCACTGTTGAAACTTCAATATCGTCTTGTTTATCACCCAACAAACATTTTATAAGTCTCATTTGTGACCGATAAATAGATATTACTCCGATAGATTTTGCAGGAACTCCGCCAGCTAACAATGCTTTTATCGTTAAAGAAATTAGTTGAACCTCGAAATTATTTGTGATTTGGCTACCAACAACCTCCTCCTTTGGACTACCATTATTACCATCGCCATCAATGATATCTGTGTCGACAAAAATCACTGGTCTCTCAGGATCTAATACATTTCTTAACCAGCAATTTTTTTCACCATTTATACTGCAAGAAATATTATTAACGTTGTTGATGTTGTTGTCATTGTGAAATTCATCTAGAAAATTTGAATTCCAATTTGGTATTTCAAGTCTTCTATTTGCGATAGTTGATGAACCAGTTGACATTTTATAATTATATATTAACATATTTGTTATACTCATGATTTCTGATGACATTCTATATTGGGAAGTTAAAATTTCAACTGCATATGGAGCTGTCTCCAACAAAGTTCTAAACAAACTTGTTGCCTCTTCAACCCTTTCTGTTCCTTGTTTGTTATCACGAATAATTGGTGCCAATTGATAATTATCACCAACTAGAAGAAATCTTTTGGCATTAAATAATGGTCCAATACATACTGGTAAAATCATTTGTGAAGCTTCATCAACTATGCAATAATCAAATTGCTTCTTTTTGAAAATCCAGCTAATTAATATATTGGATATGGATGAATGGATGAGAGAAACAAAAACAATAAATTAAAAAAAATAAAAATAAATTAAAATTAAAAATAACAATAACAATAATAATAATATTATTATTATTGTTGTTGTTATCATCAACTTACTGATTCGCTCCTAAACAAGTTATTGCAACAACCTTTTTACTTTGAATAATTTCATCTAATTTTCTAACGCTTTCAAATGCTAAATTATCAAATGTATAATTCCGAAGCTCTGGTTTTACTTTTTCACGAGATCCAAGTCTCAAGATGTCAATGCCTTCATCAACCAATTTCAGTAAAATATGATCGATTGCTGTGTGTGTATAAGCTGTTATTAAAACTGACTTATTCATTGCTACCAATGCTTTAATTATTTCAACAATTATAGTGGTTTTCCCTGTTCCTGGCATTCCTAATATTAACGCATAATCTTGTGCTAAAAATTAACAATATCATTAGTAAAAATGTAAAATGAGAAATTAAATATTATAATTTTTTTTGGTTTCTTTCTTGGACAAATACCATTTAACGCCAATTTCATTGCTTTTTTTTGATTATCATTTAATTTTCCAGATTCCACAAAACAATTAATCTCTTCAGAATTATCATCAAATTTTGGCAAAATACCATCTACCACCAATCTCCTTAGGTGAGTATTTTCAACATTCATTAAGAGTTTTACTAGATTTTGTCTTATCATCAAACTAATAGAAAGAGTTGATTCGTCACGATCAATACGAAAAGTTGTTGTTATTGTTGAATTATACTTATCATCATCGCCGCTGCTGTTACTACTACTACTATTTAGTGAACTTACAAAAGTGTGGCATGATTCAATATCAAAGTCCTCCTCGTGTCTTATACCATTAAATGGAACACGATCCAAAGATAACCAGATAGCATCAGACGAAAGAGAATAGACATTACCCAATGCTAATGCATATTGTTTATCTTTCTCTGATGAAACTACAACAGAGTCACCAACACAAAATTGACTGCTCATAATAGGATTTATTGCTATCTCGTTCTCATTATTATCATTTCTATTATTATGACGATGACGACGATGAAGTTTATGTATATTTTCATCTTTGCTATTATTATTGTATTTTGTAAATTTACATCTAAATTTACGTGATTCTTCAGATTTTGAATTATCAATTACACTCTCCAACTCTAGCTTCATATCAGTTAAACATTGACCAACAATTTCACGTTCTATCGCTGGTTTATTCCAGATATGTTGCCGAACATATACAGCATCAGTCTCCATATCTTCTTTATGAATAATATTATCCCATTTACCAAAAAATTTTGAATATTTGTTATTCAGATGTCCTGTCTCTTGCTTAAAAAACATGCCAAGACCACTTGTTTCCTCATTACCCTTCTCAACGGCCTTATGATACAACAGGCAACTAGATCTTACAAAACAATTTTTACAGACATATTCATTCTTAAGCATTGGCGGCAATATTTGACCATTTTTTGCATAGTATGCAACCTCATTCCTCCTAATGACAAGTGCTTTCAAATCTTCATGTGATGCATTGACGGCATACATTTTTCCTGTTGTGGCACAATCATTAGATTTTGGATAGTAGAGAAGACCAGAATCAACACCAACTTTATAACGATCAGACATTAGTAGAGTGTAAAAGAGAGTTTGGGATCTGTGATTTAAGATTAATGAAGAGCTTTTTGAAGTTTTCAATTCAAATGGCATAACAACCGTCTTTAATTCAGCAGCAGCAGTGTAAACTTTAGCCTCAAGTGACGCATCTATCATTCCTTTCAAACCATAATTTGGTGACCAAATAAGTTCTTCGATATTTAAAACTTTGCTTATAGCAACTTTTGTGGAATTATTAACATCGGTGAATATGCTATTTAATGGGGTATTGCCAACGAAAGTTTTTGCCCATGATTGGAATTTTGGTATGATAGTTCTCAACTCAGCAATAACCCCTTCTTCTTGTAGATTAGCACTATAAATTTTTTGTGTGGTATGCTTGACTAATTCTTGTAATTTTTTCTCCATAAATTTTGTTGAAAAATTTTGATTTGAAAGACATGATTGAAACAGTTGATGACACAAAATTCCTATGATAGCAGAGGGATTGATTGAATCATTGGCTTTTACACGATCTTGTAATATTGCTTTTCTTAAACATGAAAAAGAATCAGCTACACGAGTTGCGGTTAATAATAGATCAGGATTTACAATTACCAATGTTTTAGAATTATCAGCAATACAATGATTTTCATTATCAAACTCCCCTATTACATTAACACAATCACCTAAAATAATATTCAAAATTTAAAATTTAATAGTTTAATAATTTAATAAATTTAATAAATAAATAAACTTACATTCCATAACACAAGTATCGTACCAAAAATCACGTAAATGCAAAAAACATTCAATATTTTTTATCGGGTCCAACAAATGCACCATCTAAAAGTTTAATAATCGAAATATATAAATATTTAAATTCGAATAGATAGATATATATAAAATAAATAAATTACTTTTTCGTTATTCTGTTTTCCATTTTTCTCAAAATAAGTTGAATATTCAATACTTAGTACGAATAATTTCCTTGGAGTTATAGGTATTAACTTTTCTGCTCTAACTTTATTATTATTATTATTGATAGGTGATATTTTTATCACTTGTTGTGGATATTGACTTTGTTTTTGTTTTTTCTGTTGTTGTAATTGAAGTTGTTTTTTCGGTGATAATGATCGTTTTTGTTTAACTATTTTATTTTCTTTATTCTCGAACACGTTCTCCATATTATATTATTATTTTTTAATGTGAGTAAAGAGCAAATGAAAAAAAATAAATTGAATTAAAAAACGCGTATTTAATCGGTTACACGGACTACCGAACTAACGATTAAGATTTTTTTATTTCCAATTGATTTATTTATTTTACAATAAAAAAAAAATAAAAAAATAAAAAACATGTATAAATTGGTATGGCAATATATGAATATTTATTATCTTTAGTTTTGGTAAAAATGAACATCACCATCCAACAAGTTTAATAATAATGAATTAGAATATTTTTCAAATGTTGCTAAATATTTCATCAAAAATAATTAATTGCAATAATTAGTCAAAAATCAACAAATGCTTTTCTAATTCCAGCAATTGATTTCAATAAAACTCCAACTACACAAATTGATCCGCCACCAATAAAACCAGCCTAAATAAAAACAATATTATTGTTTGTATCAATATTAATTGATATTAATAAATTATATATTAATTAATTAGCTCTACCTAATAAATTTAATCTTTACGTCCAAGATGCTTTTCAAAAATTATATGTAAGCACGCACACATATATTTCCATATGTTACATAATACACCTAAATTAAATGATGATAGTTACCGAAGATACACCATAATTAAAAAATATATACTTTTATACATTTCTCACTTATTAAAACCTCCCAAAATAATAATAATTTACCTTCTTGACCAAATCTAGTTGATTTGGCATAAATTATGTTTAAACAATTCCTCAAGTCCTAATTCTACATTACATCTGGACGAAATGGCCAACAAGTACACCAATTGATAGTTATATTTCAATTCTTTGGATTAATTGAAAATAATCGATTGTTTCTATTTATTATTAGAAATATTAGATGTTGATAATTAAATACTGATGGTATTATTGATATTTGTAAAACCTTGCTAATACATCTTTATTGTTATATTCTTCTCATTCTTCGTAATATTTATCAACTATAATGACATTTATTCCAAAATCACTTTGCACTATTCATAATAATTCATCATTCATTCATTCTAATTTCCAGAAGTAAATTGATTAATTTCATTACTAGCAAAAGGTGCAGAAACTAAACCTGCAAGCTCAACCACTCTTAAACCCACAAGTGGTAATGTAATAATGATGGTAATTGTGATTTTTATTTTAATTTTCTCATATATTTGAACTACTATTTATTTTGACGATCAATTGATCACCAAAGAGTATTTCATTTTACATTTGCCGGGGTCCAATCCAAACTGTCAGGGTCCAACATAGTTTTTTGTCTCTTGGAACCTTGACTCTTGGCATATTCGTCAATCATACTCTCAGTGATACAGATAGCCGGTGTATGTTCCTTGGCCATTTTATCGAATTTTCTTTTTAGTTTGGGGCTGTAAGTACTATCTAACTTTGGACTTTTATATTTCAAAAACCCCATTTCTTTAAGTGCATCTAATACATCGTCTTCACTTATTGCCGTATCTTCGGATATCTTCCTAATGGAGAGGGGTGTGTGTAATTTATTTAGATTGTTCCCGTTAGTTTGGGAAGATGATAGTGGAGTGTTGGTGGACGATGACGATGATGACGATGATGTAGAAGATGGTGATGAAGAGGAGGCAGTGTTTGTAGAGGAGGAAGTTGCATCACGATATGGTGCAGAGTTTATATAATTTTGAATTAAGTCAAAGATTGTCCTTTTCCAATAAGAACGAAATCCCATAAGACCTAAATCAGATATTGGTTTTTCGGGTGAACCAATTTTATTCTCTCTCTTTGAAAATTCATAACCTTTTTAAATTTTAATAAATTATTTAATAAACTAGTACAAGATATTAATCACATACAAATAAATATGATCTTTATATCAATTACTTACTCGCTTCTATTAACAATTTCCCATAACCATGTTTTTGAAATGGTGGTAAAATCAATACACACGCCAAATTATAATTATCGTAAGATATTTTCTCCTGTAAATAATTTAAAGATAAAAAAAGAAAGGGAATATTAATATTATCGACTCCAACAATATAATAAAACATCTTAATCATATATCCAATTCATTTGTTAATTAATTGATAACTAACCTTTGAAAAGAAACCAACGAAATGCTCGATGCCTCCGGCGTCCATTTCTGTAATAATATAGAACATGAAAGGTTCTACGTCGAAATATACTGACTTGTCATCGATAAATAATTTTGTTAAAAGGCTAAGATTCTGGCAATATAACTATGATTTAAAGGCAGAATATTTGAGAAATTAGTAACTATTATAACCATTAAGATATCACATCAATCAATCAATGAATCCATTACCTTGGAATCTTTACCGTCTACTTCGTACATTCTTATTTTATTTTTTTCATAAATTAATTTACCAGGGCATTCTGGTCTACAAGTTTGCTATATAATAAAAATGTAACAATCATATAAATAAATAATTAAAAAATCAACCAATCAATCAACCATGAACTAACATAAACTAACTAATTAAATTGTTATAAGACATACCGTGTGACGCTTGTATGTTCCCTGTAGCCTCATGTACTTCATGCAATACTCACAAACATATAATTTATTTAAATTTTTATAGGGATCTGGATATGGGGAGTCGTACCAGCACTTTATTTCATGTTCACCTATCACAACAGAATCCGTTTGTCTTACTTTCACCCCTTGCTGTTAATAGATGTATTGGTTATATCACTATTTATTTAGTTGTTCTTATGCTTATTTTAGAATACTAACTTCTTTTTCACTAGCAGTTTTTCTTCTTTTGTTGGCCCGATTATCATTACCATTTTTACTTGTAATGGTGGGGTTAGGGCTTTTTGTTATTGGACTAATTTTTTCATGACTTACCCACTCGTCAAGTCGACGATCCACTAACGTATATATGAATTTTTTATGGAAAATAAGTAAATATATATATGGATAATGAAAATTTAAAAAACGAATATTTGATACTCACAACCAACATAATGTATGAAGTACTCCCACGAGGAGGTTTGGGTTTTTCTTCCTCCAAGGATTTCCCCTTGATCTATCATTTACAAATAAATTAAACAAACTTTGTAAAATACAATTGCACACATATATGTGTATATAATACATGTTTACATAACAAGGTCAAAAAAAAAATCAATGAAAACTCACAGAGTTGTTCGTTTTTTAAGACTAATTGGGTTGTTCCAATTTCAAAAGGTGTGATTGCAGCTGTTGTTGTTGTTGTTGCTGTTGTGGCGATTTGTTCAGCCATTATTATTTACGTTTAATATTATTTTTTTATAAATTTTATGAGTAACTGATAAATAGAATAGAATTTTTCCTAAGATTTATAAAGTTTTTTTTCTTTTTTTTGATATGAAAATCAAGAGAATAAAAATGTGAAATGAATGTAATAAATTTTATAAACAAACAAAAATTGAAACAAATATATGGGCCTTTTCAAATGAAAACAAACGTATCATACTCCCAAAAAGGAAATTACAAGTTAAGACCATCTTTAGGTGTATCTCTTTACGTAGAACATTTTTGGCATATAAATCATACCCATTTTGCATAGTAAAATTTTGAGACTTTCTTCAAACACAATAACAAATTCTTTTTGGAGTGCAGATCTTTTTTCTAAATCATTACAATGATCATCAAATTAACTTCCAAAGATACTGGAGGTAAGTTTTCTATTTTAAGTTATGTAAATAATAGAAATAAATAAAAAAATTTCTTAAACATTATAATAAATTTGCATAGCTTTTTCTTTAAGAAAACATCACATGAAAGGTATGTATTCTTGTCATCCATTACTTTTTCACGCAACAATCAAGTCCTTGCATTCGGCGTATCCATCCTATTGTTGGAAGATGGGAGGGAATAACTATACAGTGTAGTTTGTAAAAAATAGTCATCTATCAACAAGGATAGTCTTTGTCGATGTCTCAGGGCCTCTGTATACGTGATCTATACACGATTTTATATTGCTGATTATATTTATATTGTTATTCCACAATTTCCGTTAATTATTTCATATCAAATTAAAGACAAATTGATACATTGATTGAGTTTTGGGATAATTTAAAACCTGGGAACAAAGTGACAAATAGCACAAAAAATGTTCTGATATAGATCAGCGAGAATCACCCAATTAAATCCTTTTGAGATATTGTCGTGTCTCTTGATTTTGAATATTAGAAATCATTAAATAAATGATAAATAGAAAAGGACAGGCTTCATGATGAGTAAGATTTAATGATTTGTAAAGCATATTAATTGAATTTTTATCAACTAATTTTTTTTTCCAATAACAGTCACGACAGGATAAAAATTCCTAAAATGTTAAAACTCATCTCAAATAGATAGTGTAAACCTTAATCTCCTAAAGCTTTATGGATTGCAGATTTATAGTAAGTATTTACTGAAATTATAATATCGTTATTTACCTCTTGAATAGCAAATCATATATCAGTTTACAAACCCTTATAAATAGAAATATTACTTTATTAGTTAATTATTCAATTGTATGACAACAAGATAATTGTTTTTAATAACAAATCAATTGGCAAGCAAAGAAATCTTTAATGTTAACATATCTTTATTACGTCAAGGCGCGCCAACCCTTGAGTATGCAACTTTTTAAAAATTAATTTCTTTAACAATAGGTTCTTTGTTAATACTAACTGAAAGCTACAGCAGCATTAACCTATATACCACCACCAAAAACATCGGAAATTATTTTACGAGTTTTTATAAGGCATTATTAGCATCTAAATTTATGTACATGAATTGAGAAATGTGATCGCGTAACAAGTTGTGATCAACTCTTTTTTATGTACAATGAAATATTTCATATGAATTTTATTTTCGCCAGGGATATCAAATAATTAGTTAAATATGAAAATAAATTAAATAAATTACAAATCAATTAAATAGTCATGAATATAGAAATTTAGGATAATTTTTTTAATTTCTATTACCAATTAATGCTACTTTCATTTCTTCCATTTAATATTCCACCGCCCATACTATTAAACTCGGGTCTCCTATTACTAGCAGTGTATTTCTGCGTCTAACATTATTGTTATTGTTGTTATCTAAGATGGTACTATCATTCTGATTATTAATTATCATTGTTAAAATTGTTGCCATTACTATTTTCATAACTGTTATATCCTCCCAAATCAGATTCTCTCTCGATTCTTTCAATTAATTCAAAAATCTTATCAACACCAGATATTCTTTCATCTTCTTTGAACTTGCAACATCCAACAATTAAACTCCTAACGACCTGATTTTCTATATCTTCTTGATCCAAAACTTTATTCAAATTATCTAAACTGGCCTTCAATTTTTTGACTGATTCATATAATGGACGTTTAACATGCAAAAAGAATAAAATTGCACCAAGACTAAATACATCAATTGTTGTCTTAACCTTTATTTTGTATGAACAAATATTACCAGGTTTTATTGATTGTTGTTGATATTGATTAGACGCGAACATTAAGGGTGGGTTTAATAATATTAGCTCGGGACAAGTGTAACCGACGCTATATAATTGATTGTATGGATTGTTGTTTAAAAAACTTGGTGACGATGATGGCAGTTCAATTTGTAAATCTTCGCCTAAATCTTTTGATAATTTAAAATCTATTAATCTGATCTTGTCTATTTCATCTTTTTTAGACTTGCAAATTATATTGCTGGGAGAAATATTCATGTGAACAACGCCTTTGTCATGACAATGTTTTACTGCAGCACAAATATTTTTAAATACTTTAAAAATACTAATAGTATCGTTAAATTTATGAGCTTCCTTTGCCAAGGCTCTACCAAAATCTTCCACTATTGATAGGTACTCGTCTTCATCGGAAGTGATAAACTTTACAACATGTGCTGATCTTAATTTTTGAAGATAGTAAACTTCATTACTAAAATAATTTTTGGAAGCAAAAGATTTTATAATAACAGCATCCTTGGTTAACGTGTGATGACCCTTGAAGACTTTTGTTTGATAGATTTGACTGTGAGATCCTTGAATCAAATCATCTGACACAAAAGCATCAAAAATTACTTGTTCTGAATCTTCACATATTGGCGGAGGCGATGGCGTTGTAATTATTGATCGAGAACCATTGCTACTATTACCGCCAGATGTTATAACGTAATCACCACCACTACCATTATTTCCATTATATTCATCAAAACTTTGACCTTCAATCCTACTATCCCTATTACTAGAACAACCATCGTCGTCGTCGAAAGGGTTATCTGTGTTATCAAATTCATCAGAAGATTGAATATCTATGAAATTGGGTTCGATTGTTGAATCTGGAGTTGTTGGTTGATTTGCGGGATGAGGATAATTTGGTGTAGGTGGACATAATACTTCTTTTGGATATACCATCCGAAAAAATGATAGTTGAAAAGAGATTCTGGCATATTCAATACCATTCATCTGCAATGTTTCTTCTTTCACTATATATATAAATATATAGAATAAATATTAGTATATTAATATATTATGATTATAATCAAATTAATAAATAGAAATTGATTGATTACCCAAATAGGGATTACTCGTTTTTAATTTTTCCCAAATACTTCGATCCTCGGTATCAGAAGAAAGAATAATTTTCCTTGAAGAAAGCTTTCCATCACTGTGTCGACATTGTATTAACAACGTGATATTGTTTAATGTGTTTACACGCAATGCAATATGGCCTTTAAAATGTCTCTCATTAATACGCCAATATTTTTTTGTTGAATGCCTTTCTTTGTCGTTCAACATAAATTCCATCAATCCATTCATTCCATACAAATCAACACTAATAATAATAAAAGTATAAATTGGTATAAGTAGCTTATTTGGAATTTTGAAAGAGAAAAAAAATGTAACATACTAATTTATCTCGCTAATGATAAACATTCCAATTTTATTATAACTTGAATCATCATATAATGGTATACCATTCTCATGATTTAGTCCCTATTTAAATAATAGATTAATTAATACTAACATAGATATTAATAGATATAAAAATTTATTTACCTTAGCAAGAAAATATAAATAAAACTCGACACGACCATTGATATTGTCACCGTCAGTGTGGATTAATTTTTCAGTTACTTTAATTGGACGCTTTTTTTTTAAATTATTAAAATTAATTACGGCTTTGCCAAGACGACTTTCAGCTCCACCACATAAATGATTGTAAGCGTAAATTACTAATTCATCATCTTTTGATGAAAGATTGAAAAATATATGTTCATCCCAAACTGCAACTTTTTCTGTTTTGTCGTCGTTGCTTTGTCTTCTTTTTTTAATGAAAGCATAAAATTAAAAAAAAACCATAAAAACGCTAATGGTAATATTTATTAATTTGCACTTACAATTCAGACAATGCAGTAAAAGCATTTTGAGTGCCACATTTAAGTTCTAATTGTATTTTGGGTCTATTAAACAACCTTGACTTTAATTTTGGCTTGATTACTTCAGACATTTTCAAAGAACATTCAATTCTCATAGCTAATATATATCCAACTGCAGGATTAATAAGATCCATTATTTTATTTTAAATTTTTTTTTTTTTGCAATAAAAATTGTGAATTTCTAACAAGTATTATTTAATTGAAAAAAAGAATTGAAAAATAGATCTATTTTTGTAAACAAACTTAAACAATGAAAACTGGTTTTTGTTTGACACACACAACAAAGAATTTTTTAATTTGTTAGATGACATTTTTCCGTCTTATTTTGCGAATGCAAATATGTAGTTATAAGGAATCAATTTCTTATTTATTATTACTAAAAGCATAAAGTAAAGTGGCATCTATGATCACGATATTGTCAATTTGGTACCCAGTAATATATCACAAACTCCAATAAATATATTAATATATATAATCGGCGATCTCCATATTTGAGTAGGTAGCCAGCCATCTCCGTACAAAATTACAATATTACGTGTAACCAACAAATAATTTTTTTGAGAAAATCTCTATTACATTAAAACTAAAGACCCAATAGAGCTATTTTTTTAAAAGGTGGGACAGAAAATGACTTTTGTACTTTTAAAATTTGCACAAAATTTAGGAGGTCTTTAGACCGAGACAACTATATAGAGAGCGCCATTTTTATAAAAATTTGCATGTGATTAGTCCAAAGGGAGTTCGTTATAAACAGAGAATTAATTAAGTTCGTTCGTTATACAGAACAAATTTAATTAACAAAAAATCGGGTCCAAAATCTTGGTTCGTTACAGAGAACAGTTCGACTCTCGGAGGTTCGGTATATATAGAGAACTTAGCCTATATGTATAAAATTCTAGTTAAAAACCAACCAAGGCTCAAAGTTTTCGGGTCCGGGTTGTTAGGACCGAACCGAAAAACCCGAACCCGAACCGAAACCTGAAAACTTTTGTACTGTGCTAATTATACTTGAGGTCAAAATTATTAAATTGCATTGCATCACCTATCATAATTTTATACAACTGACACAAGATGCAATTCATGACGCAAGTCTCAATTCATGGTGCAACATGATTCATTAGCTAACAAAACCTTTTTAGCTATGAAGCATTGATGTTACATTAAAAATTAAAAAATTAAAAAGCTTTCATGCAATAAATAAAGAGTTTTATATGTGGTTAGTTTGAATTAATTCATACACACATCATGATTGTGCTTGTGTAGTGATGGCGGTTAAAATTATTTTAGTACATCTGAAATAGTTTACTTATAGAAATTAGGAATTTAGGCTCCTAAACTAGTGACGAAACTTAAAAATTACCTAAACTATGGGCAAACTCTAAACTGTGGTTAAATTGTCAAATCTATGACCAAAGTTTTATGATAAATAAAACGGATTTATCGAAGTGCCGTCCAATTGTATGCCGGACATGTGATCTATATAGTCTTTCATTTTGTATTTTTTATTAATATTTTATATTTTTATTTATTTAAAAAGATTATGATTATCATAAAAATAATGTCATTTTTTGACCTAATTCGTTTTGTAATAATAAAACAAATCAATTCTTTTTTTTGATCAATAAACACTTTTGTGGTCGGAAATTAAACAGTAGAGTTTAATTGACCGCTTGGTTTTCACCCGCAGTTTAGGTTTCGCCAACTTCACCACAAAATTAGGCCTAAAATATGGGCTAGTTCCGGCCATCACCCACTAGCCTTGTGTCTTTAATTATGTTTTGCGTCACGAATTGTCTTGAGTCACGAATTGCCTTGAGTTACATCTTGCAACCCTACATCTCTTGCATCGTGAATTGTGTTTTGCGTCCCAATTGCAGCTTTTGAACCACTGTAACTGTTTCGCCTTTTTATTTAATTAATAAAATTTAGGCAAATAAAACTTAAATTTATGTAAATCACAAAATTTTTTTATTAACCCGAAATCAACCCGAACCCGACCCGTTAGGAGCTTTACAACCAATAGAAATCATACTGAATACAAAATGCAAAGCCAATATCACTATGTTTATATTGGAAGGTAATGCTTATTTTTCATTTGTCAAGATTCATTCATTCCAACTATTGAATTAAAAGATTATGCATGAGAAGCAAAAAAACAGATTTTTTATTGATTATTTGATTTGTCATCGTCACGTTCAATGGATTTAAATTTTATTGGTTCACCACCATAACTAATATAATTTTTTTAAAAAAATCATAATTATAAATATGATGAAATAATATAATGTTTATATTTTCTATTCTTACCTATAATCAAAAAACAACTCTTGTCCAGGTTCAAGATCTTGTATTGCGTAAATTCCTATCCTGTGTTCACCATTAACCTTGGCAACTATTATAATTATTATTAATATTTTAAAAAAATCAATGATAAATAATAATAATGATTTTCTAGATAACATACTACGACATGCCGTATTAGGAGAAGATGAATGATTTATAAATCTAAATTTATTGCCCTTACGGGTAGCATCTATTACTGATTCTATTGTAATTAATATACATGTACTATTGTTTTAGTTTTAATTTGTATGCGTGTATATATAATATATAAAATAATCATAAGATAGTAATTAATTCTCTTAACCTTTATTTAAATTAAATAGAAAACTAACTCCTCTTTTATCATAGATTCTTCCACGTCTCTCAGCTTCTTTCTGTGAAATCAACTTGGAAAATTTTTAATAAAAATTGATTCATCATTAATTAATTGTTTGGTTGTTTGTTGGTAAAATTAAAACATGTGATGATAAATTATTTACCTCCCCAACATATTCCCCTAAATAATCATTTTTGTTGACATACTCCATAACATAAAGTCCCCAACCTGAAACATTTGATATACCTACCAAAGTATGCTATTAAAACAAGGATATTTAAATATGTAAAATTTATTATTAATTTATTAATTATTATTATACATTATTATACATATAAATAAAATTACCTTAAAGCATCCTTTCAAAATAGGCATGTTTTTACAATTTTCAGGTGGTTCATGACTACATTCTTTAATAAATTAAAATCAAATTCATTAATTTTATATAATTCAAAAATAAATTATATATATATTATATGGAAAATATTATATTGTTACTTGATGCAGGACATCTACAACGATCTGGATCACACTCTCTTCCACTATTAAAACAATGACAATTAGTATCCAAACAAATTTCACCACCAGTACTATGACAATCACATCCAGGAAATCTTCTGATACCTTTTAAAAATCATTAGAAGTGATGATGATGATAATGATGATTTTATAAATTACTTATTTTCTCCCTCGCTCTCAAAATATATATATAATAAAATTAAATTAATCAATAAATCAAAATAAACAATCTTACAATCTGGATCACAGAAACAGTATTTTTCACATGAAACATTTGCTTTAAAACAGGGACATGATTTATCACAAGGTTCACCAGGATGATTACAGGTAGTATATTCATTCTGTTTTTGAGCATTATTATCTTAAAATAATTTGGAAAATTTTTATATAGTTAAAACTAATAAACTATAAAATTCAATAAAATCAATTTTTAGTAAAATACCTATTTTTACTGCTGCTGCTTTTTTAGCTTTTTTCTTTGTATCTTCTTTTGTTTTTTCCACTGAATCTTTATTTTTAATAAAAGGATCAACATGACATGATCTCAAATATATCTATATAATTCAATATGCGTAAATGAATTACAATTGAAATTTTTTTTTTTTAATCATAAATATTATTGTTGTTATCACCTGTTGGCAGCTTTTAGATTTGATTGTTTTTGCTATAAAGCAATGGTTATCACTGCCAAACAATTCACGAGCTTTATTGTACAAAATAATATCTTGAGCACTCCACTCGGATGAATCAAATGCCAATTCTTTTCCTTTTCCTTCATTAGATGTTGACAATATATTATGATAACAATTTGGTCCACAAGGATCTTTACTTACAGGCACAGGAATGCTTTTTTTCTTTCCAGCTGAAAAATTTCCACCTTGAAACCCCAATATTTTTTAAAAAATAAAAAAAATTTTCAAATTGATAATGAATTTAAAAAAAACCAATAATATAAAATAATTACCATGATTTTTGCAATTATATTTATAACAACGACGACAAAATAATTTTGTATATGTATCAAACACTTCATTGCTAATCGTCTCAGATGATAGACTATTATTATTATATAAATTTATACATATATATTCACACATATATAATTAACAGAAAATCACCTCTATTAAAATCAATATATGTGCATGTGTGTTACCTATCAATCTCCATAATATCTTTTTGATCATTGTTCAAATTTTTTCTATATTCTATGTATCTTTATATTTGTATGATATTGAAGTTAGTAATATAAATCTGAAAAAAGGAGGACAAAATAAATATTAATTGATATTGGCTACTTGTTTAATAGTGATTGAGCATCTTCTTTTTCATGAAGCTTAGAGAAATCTTTAAAAAATTTTTCTATGAGTTTATTTTCTTTGTTGTCACTAGGACTGGCACTAGCACTGGAATTAGGATTGGTGTTACGTTTTGTATAATTTTCAATCGTGTTGAGTGTAATGTTATTTTTGTTGAAGTAGTAATCCATAGTCAACATAGCAATCTTTGCCTCTACAAAATAAATAAATAATGGTTATGAACAAACAAATAAATAAACAGATAAATAGATAATTCAATCAGTTAACTAACTATGTTAATCACCTTCAACTGCATAATAATTAGAATTATCAATATCAACTCGATCATAATTGTCAAAATAATCTGTTGTGTGATTATCTTCTCCGAAATAATAAAAATGTCTCAATACTGGATCATCTTCGGCCTAGATTAAAATTTGATCAATAATAATAACAATATTATTATTATCATCTAATAAATAAATACTCTTCTAAGAATAATATCAATGCCTTAAGATTCTTTAGAATCGGAGTCCATAGAGTATATTTTGGTATTGGTTTAACGTAAGGGATTGGGAATGGTTCAATATATTTTTTATATTCTTTCTTAGGATAACCAGCTTCAAATTCCTTGTTAATATAAATAAATAAATATAATATCCCTAGGAATAATGATAAAAAATATATAAATACTTACTATGACACTTATTTTTGTGATTGAACGAGAATTATTTGATTGAATTGCTTTTCCTCCTATAGGTTTTTTTTTATGGGTGGGCTTTATTTGTTGTGAAAGGATTCTTTCATTTTCTTCAATTGACTTTTTAATTCTTTTTCGGCTTTCTTTTAGATCGACCTTTGAAAAATTCAATAATAATAACAACAAAAGATATAAAGAACGCAATTTTGGGATTTTTTAAAAATACTTTTTCTTATTATATTAATCAACTAACTATCGAATCCTCGGCTTTCTTGGTGTATACCTCTTCTCTGATTTTAAGGTATTTCTCTGCAAGTTCATTCTGTAAAGGTTCTAGTTTTTTGGAATTATTTTTTCTAGACATGATAATGAAATATCACATGTACAAAATTCCTGACGGGCGAATTGACGAATTTTTATAAGCGGTAGGACAGGATCTAAATCATCTTAGTATTACAGTCAAGTATTTTACCAAATTTGGAAATCGAATCTAGAAAAATTGGAACCCCCTTGTTGATCAATTCATATATGTTACAAATGATTTAACGTGACATGTCGTGCTTTGTGAAAAATAAAATTTTTAAAAAAAAATAATAATAAGCAAAATCATGTCAAAAAATGAACATATCACTTTCAGGAAACTCATCAAGGAAAAAAATTATTTAATGTGGTTTTTA